TTCTCTCTCTCTCTCTCTCTCTCTCTCTCTCTCTCTCTCCCTTCTGATACGCTCATGGCTCATAGAAGTGGAGCAATAATTTGTTCCCTCTTTTCTCCGTTCGTTTTATAATAATATGGCGGAAAGAAGTGCAGTGGGGGTGAAAGACAAGGGGGAGGAGAGGGGTTTAAAGAAGATGGAGGGAGGGGAAGGGGGGGGCAAAATAATACGCCAAAAGAACATAACACAGCTCGCATCCCCCCGCGTTTACCGCCAATTGCCAGGTTTATTATTTGTGAGGCAAAAAGGGTGAGCGAGACGATGATTTATTGCCGAGGAGTTGAACATTTCCTGTTTCGTTCACTACACGAGCACAAACAAAGCAAACAGAAGGAAGCAAAATGTCTAGCAAGATTGCGTGATCGCTGAAGGTTTACCTGATTTTCACGGAGTTTGAAGTTGAAAGTTAATTTTGTCTCCTATTTGTATTCTTTTTTTCTCTAGCGTCCTACGTTTGTTTATAATATTTATACCAGTTATATCTTTTTGCGTGTTTTTCTTTCTATTTTCCGCTTCCAAAAGCCGTAAACCACGACGACTCAGCTTCACATTTTCCATTCGTTCTTTTTTCCTCATTTTATGCCAAGCACGGCGCAATCTGTGACGACCTCGGCTTGTTGTTTCTTGTTATGGAAGTGGAAAAAATAAACCCCACTCAGAGAACGCCAGAACTCGTTTAGCAAATAGACCAAGAGGAACAGAGAGCAGACCCCCCCCCCTTTTCTGTCTTGACGGTGTACAAGCGACAGATACAGAAAAGGGTCACTGCACCGATCTGAATGATACTATGCAGTCTATTTCTTTTTATGACAGGAGCTTGACATAATGACATTACTACAAAGATAACCTTGGCCTAAATTACAAATGCTTTATGCCCTCGTTGGCTCATTGGCTCATTGTCATAATTTTGAAAGTATAGGAGGCGGAATATTTCGATTTTGCATGTCTGGACCAATCTGGGCTGGCAAGTTACAAGGTAGTAGAAAGCAGGTGAGATACTCAATCATTTTTTAAAACCCA